AAAGCGGCATGGGTTAACTTGTCACCACACCTGACGTAACAGCAAGCTATGACAAGGACATACTTCAAGGATGAAGCTGAAACGCGAAATCCTAAGGCGCGGGTTGTGGCTAGTGCCTGCACGCTTCTGAGCAACGACCTGCTCCCCGGTGCCACAGCTGCGATTCCGAAATGCTTGCGTTTAGAGAAACGGACTCTTTGACGCTGTGGCTGTGCACAAGTGGAACAGAGTCTGCGACAGTTCAGCTGTAGAATGTCTTTGAGGCCATAGAAGGTAATGATTTCTGGATGCAAAGCCGGCAGCCCCATGGAGGGTCGCAAGATTCATATTCTGGGGTTTGGATGTGACCCCAATGAACAGAATGTGCCCTTGCGCCCTATACCTACCCAAGAAATCCCCTCCAAATAACCCAGTAAAGTAAAGCTGACACTTCTAGCGTGGCACTAAATGATCGCATCCCGACCTGCTTACAGCTTGGGTGACGGAGAATTATAAAAATGACACGCATAAGCACTTGATTTCCTCTTGGGATCCTGCTGGCCGTGTAAGACACCTCCGAATTCAACGAGTCCTCGGTGCAAAGCCTCAGAGGTGTGAGCTGTCTGCGGTTGACGCACTCAATCCTACATTCTCCTGCGGTCCGGTAGATCAGAGTCTCAAAGTCAGCACCAAATACTCGTTATGAATCGAGACTTCTCGCAATACAGATCCAAACGGCAGCAATTAATTATCAAGCTGGCACGGTTTAGGGCGTGAGGCTTAGGCTTAAACAAATCAGTTGTATAGGGTTCATAACAGGCATAGGAAACAAAGATTTCGGTTTAGGAGTACAACCCCCCCCCCCCCCCCTGTTTCCCTTGAGCGTTTTGCCATCACCTCTATCAACAAAGGGAAGGGTTCGCACTTTGGGCGCCAAGAACGGCTTTTGAAGGCCAAGAGTTTCAAGCTTCGTGTTTGACTGTAGGATTTAACTTTAGAGCCAGTGCACTGGCTTCTATACGTGGGCGAGTGTCGCAACATGATACATGTGCTCATGTACACTATACAGCTACATGTGCAGACCAGCATTGACTGGTAGACTATGACACGCTTGCTAACAACATATTATTGTAACAAGGGCTGCATTGAACGACCAAGCTTTACAACTAGCCATCCATCTGCATGCTCTGAAGCTCCCTTGATTTCTTATACATATATTCAGGTTTAACTGTTCCGAATATAAAGAGACTTCGCATCCTCGGCTGTGATCATGACAGCGATTGAGAGATCACAGATGACTACAAGTAAGACTTTACGCAACCTTACAGCTTTGTGGGTGCCAGTAGTGAACGACTGCACTGAATGCTGCCTCAACCCTAGACCCTAAGCCCTGAAC